ATATATATCATTACCGCCACTCATAATAATGTATATTGTGATATGAATAATTTTTTGCCATATCGCACATTCTTATAAAGTACCGCCACTTTCTTTATTTCATCCGCCATTAAACAGAGACCGGCAGAGGAAAACAACAGAGGCGCTTCCCGACAGTCCGAACGTCTGACCTGAAAGAACACAAGCAGCTAACTTTAAAGCGTTGGACACGTTTTGGATGCTCAAAAAAAAGCTTGAATACCTTTTATTTATTTTAACTCAATCCTCCTTTGCTTATTTGATTTAAACTTATTTGCCTCACACAATTTTTCTAGCGGGGAAATGACATCAATAGAAATACGTGTAGCTGGATTTTAATTTGTGCAATAAGACAAAACAGTCTTGTTTTGAAGAGTTTGCACCTTAAAGAAACAAGTTACACAACTGATGTTACAATACAAAGAGTTGGATGTTGTCTTGATGTTTGTTAATTTTATATATTGAGAAATATGTAAAAAAAAAGTTTATTATTTAAAAAAAACACACACACACAAAGTACCGGAAATTGGTACCATTAAGTACCGGCCGAATCTATTCAAATGCCAAAGATACCCATCCCTAGTCTTAGGATGTCAGTAAAGAGACATGATTCTCACGTATAGTGATTTCTGCTGAGGTTTCACTTCAATTTTGAGAAAAGCAGAAACAAACTGAATATTTTTAGTAGATATTGACCCACTCTTTTAAAGTACGCCATATTTCTCTTTTCTGTTTGCAGACTATGAGCTCATCATGGACGACATCCTGCCAAACAGGACAGTGGGGTCTGGCTGGACGACAGGAGGACTTGAGAATCAGGAACCGGCTCTGTTTGAAGAAAGGCACCTCATTTTCTTGCAGTTGCTTGGCAAGGTAAAAGCCTTACCACGCAGGGTTGCCAGATAAGGAAATGACTAACTATTGTACYGTTTATTGTATTTTGACCCAAATTATCATACGTGTTGAATGAGGTGTGCTTTCCCTGAGGGAGAAGTTTGTAAGATGAAGTGTGTATGAACAAAAACAGTAATTATTGTATATCTGGCAACACTGATGCCAGGATTTAAACAAAATGCCCATTCAGTCTCAGCATATAGAAAGATTTGTTACAAGGACAGTTGGTCTCCTGCTTTATTTAGGCTGATCTTATCATGTGGAATATTGTGGGTTCATATGATTTAGTGTCTCTTTAGAAGATTTTTTGATAAACTAATTGTGTAAATGTTAATACGTTTGTTTTTTTATATTAGTCCAATAAAAATAATTGGGCGTAGCAACAAATAAACCTAAACTGCTGGTGACGAATAACTCTTGACACGTTTTGTTTTCAAGGGAAACTTCGGAAGTGTGGAGATGTGTCGTTAYGACCCGCTTCAGGACAACACGGGGGAGGTCGTGGCTGTGAAGAAACTCCAGCACAGCACCGCRGAGCATCTACGAGACTTTGAACGAGAGATCGAAATTCTCAAGTCTCTCCAGCACGAGAACATTGTCAAGTACAAGGGTGTTTGTTACAGCGCAGGTACGCCTTCATGTCTTTGWTTTATTAGCTGACTCATCTTGTGCATCTTCAAACAGTTCACTAGATTTTCTATTTRACATCTAGACGGCCTGTAGGTAGTATGTTTGACACGCAAACTCTATTAATAACATTTATAGGCTTAAAAAATTATGATCAAGTTCTCTGTTTTTGAAAATGCTATATAGTCAGTGTTGATTAGCAGGGAACAAAAGATTGAAATCCAGAATATTTCCATTAAATTCTTGTCTGTGAAGAGCCATCTAATGAGTTTGCCAAGTAAAWAGAAATTAGCCAAGATTATTCTTCGGCCTCAGCAACATTAAAATCAATATTTTATGTGTATTTGTTCATGTCATGCACAAAATGGTAACTTTTATTTCTTTGCCCCACCCCGCTGTCCTAGGTCGAAGAAATCTTCGTCTCATCATGGAATACCTTCCTTTTGGAAGTCTGCGAGATTACCTCATGAAGAACAAGGAGAGGATAGACCACAATAGGCTTGTTCATTATGCTTCTCAGATCTGCAAGGTGCTGCAGAGTGATTCTGTCTTCATGTTGTCTGAAGCTTCCTACCAGAGACTGAACCCTGCTTTGTTTGTCTGTGTTTGCACAGGGAATGGAGTACCTGTCCAGTAAACGGTACATCCACAGAGACCTGGCCACACGAAACATCCTCGTTGAGAGTGAGCTGAGAGTGAAGATTGGAGATTTTGGCCTCACCAAAGTGCTGCCTCAGGATAAGGAGTACTACATGGTGAAAGAACCAGGAGAGAGCCCCATATTCTGGTCAGACCAGCTTTTATGATTCAAACTTAATTGGACTGAAGCCATTTTCTAAATCTATTTCTGTAAGCTGTTGTGAAATGCTGCTGACATTCATGATTAATAACTGTCAGGCTGTCTGTTTGTTTTTGTGTCGTAGCGCTTCAGGGTTCAAGCTGTGACATTTACATAATGTCAGCCCCTCAGAGAGTCAGAACAGGCAGTGACATGATGTGTGATTTTCAGGTACGCGCCCGAGTCTCTGACGGAGAGCAAGTTTTCTGTGGCGTCAGATGTCTGGAGCTTTGGRGTGGTGCTCTATGAGCTCTTCACCCACAGCGACAAGAACTGCAGCCCCCCTGCAGTAAGTAGTCGAACACATTCAGCAGCGTGAACTGGATTTGTTTTAGATTTAAATGACTTTCACTGCTTTTGTAATTTGGCTTTAAAAACACAGGCAATGGGTGGGGGGAGGTGGGTCACGCTAACTCAGTGATGACAGCAGTGACTCCCAGAATAGATGTCCTGCTGGGTGGACCTTTACTGCAAGTCATTCCAGTGCTTTCTCTTCCCGTCTTCTCATCTCATTACTTCATTTGATCGGAAAACTGTTTAACAAAAAGCAACAAATAAACCAAAACTGAAAGAAATGTGGAATTTAGTTCCTTCTCCACTCATCTCAGTGTTGCTTAAAGTAAATTAAACACATATTTGCATCGTTTGCTACTAAATATTTATTTAGAACGAGTTTTAAGAGACATTTCTGCATAAAATGACTCCGAGATGCTTTGAAGAACCTCAAGATTTGAAGATAAGCTGAGCAAACAAACTAAGCAGCAGTCTGTAGAGTCAACCTGTCAGAGTGCAAAGTATCTATATTTAGCATTTAGCATTATTCCAAGTATGACTCAGCCTCCTGTGAGCAAAATGTGTGAATCAGGGCCCCAACGATACCCAACACAAATGGGGAAAGAGAGACAAAAACAAGGGGACGTCGAGCCCCGCTTGCACTCACTACATACACATAACACGACACTAAATAACCACAGCTGAAGCATCCAAACCAATAAGTCAGGTGATGGGGCACATGACCCTCTATGTACAACAGAGCTAATCAAGCCTTTTGTTAGGCAATGGCCCTCTTTTGCATGTGACTAACCTGTTTGTCCATGTGGAGGCAGTGCTTATAAGGCTGAGTTCACCTGAAACTCAGACTGAAGAAGTCTCTTGGAGGAGAGACGAAACCTTTCACTAAAGAAGAACCCATCCAGAGGACCTACTTATTTTTTTCTTTTTGATTTTTTTCTACCTTGGATTACTGAGATGCATCAGGACGTTTAYCGTTAAGAGTACAATTTTCTGTGCATGTCTGAGAACATTGTGTGCATTCAGAGCAGCAGAACATGTGATTCATGTGTTACGGTTAATTTATGGTGACAGCACAGCTAAACATAAGCCTTCTGCAGACATGCTCTCCACCARTTAATCTGACAGCAGCTCATTATCTGTATCTACATCATTACGACTTTTCCAAATAAATCAAATATGTCTGACTTAAAAAAAAACATTCATGAATTAGAAGCTGGAATAGTTTTCCCCACCATCTGTTCAGAAAGCCAACATGTTGAAAATCAATGTTTTCAACATCTCTAATCCATTAGCAATGTATGCTATCAACCACTGCTTTGACTCTTTGTGACTGAAGGAATAAAGGTTAGWAATGGAATCACAAAGTGTTTAAACCTAAAGCCAGGATTTACTTTATTAGTACCATTATAATGAATCACGCAATACTTCACATTTGTAATGACGTGAAAGGATTTAGATTTTCTGCAACATTCTTCCTGTTCTGTCAACTATATGGAACGTTTTCTGTACACTGCCAGTCCTTACCTGTCTCGTCGTCCTGCTCAGGTTTTCATGTCGATGATGGGCAACGACAAGCARGGGCAGCTGATCGTTTATCACCTCATCGAGCTCCTCAAATCAGACAGCAGGCTGCCTCAACCCCTGGGCTGTCCCACAGAGGTAAGAACAAAAACTTCCTTTTTTTTCCCCCTTTTTTCTTCAGATTTCCAGTTTTGTCATATTCCATTGGTGTGTTTGGCATTTTAGAACCTTTCTGAACAGTTATCTGACAAAAAGTTTATTAAAAAAAACTATTTTACCACCAGGAATGAGGAGGTAGTTGTTTGCTCAGTCTAGTAATCCATCAGGTTGCACAAATGCTTGTGTTCTGTCTCCTTTCTGAGCTGTGCCTATAAATGTTTCCAGATTGATTTTGGTTTCCTCCTGAAAACATTCTTCTCCTTGTTTGTTCATTTCAGATGTATGAGATCATGAACGAGTGCTGGGATAAAGACCCCACCCTGCGCCCTTCTTTCAACGAGCTGGCCCTTCGCATCGACCTGTTCAGAGACAGTAAGGAGTTTTAAAAAAACAAATCCAGTTCCCYGCCGCTCTTCAACAAAAACACTGAAAGCTCTGTTGCGGCTAAGAGAGGAAGGCCAACGCGAGGTTCCTCCGCTGGCGACTGGAAACATGGGAGCTTGGATTAAGGACTACTGCCGAGGTGCCTTGGAGCGAGGCACGTTTGTGTCGTGGAGCAGCTTGGTGGGCTGCAGCCGGTTGGACGAGGTTAAACTTGAAGGCTATTGTTGAAAATGAGCAAAATTTGGTCAAAGTTTTAAAGACTTGAAGAGTTCATAGAGACTGTGACAAGACTGTTGCCAGACCTGAAGCTAAWGATGGTTGTGGTAAACAAGTTTGTGTGTGTTTGTGTGCGCGCGTGTGTATGTGTGTCATTCGTACAAACAGCTAGCTGGCCTAGCTCTCATCCACAGTTGCTGTCATCTGAAAACGACTTGTAGTTTATTTTTATGTGTGTGTGTGTGTGTGTGTGTGTGTGTGTGTGTGTGTGTGTGTGTGTGTGTGTGTGTGT